TTTTACTAAATTGCTTTTATTTCCTTGTTCCATATTGCTACTTTGAGTTATATTTCATAACACAAATACGTTTTTTCTCAACTTCAACTTCAAATACTACATTATTTTTATAATTTTAAATAAATAATGTCTAACCACTCACTTGAAATACAAATTCAAGTCATAATTTTAATTCACTTGGAATTTAAGTAATATGTCACTTGAAAATGAAAATACAGAAATAATTATTTCATGACCGACCAATTACCATGCCCTATTTCTATTTAGATTTATTTAAAAGCGATGAGGCCAACTCCTAAACCTGAAAACCATTTAGGTAAAAAACTATAATTATGACAAAAGAGAGGGGCAAGAAGTGTAATTACGCAAAAGAGATAAAAGGGCAAAATCCCCTCCAGATCAAATCTTCAGTAGTAGTCTAGACCCTCAATAAAAGTTCGATCCGATCGATTTTAGTTGCATAAACCCCAATCAACAACGCTCGTAAGTCATTTCTTCCGATCTCCCTCTCTCTTTTTTTTTGTGTACAAATATATGTATTTCAAAATTCCTTTTAACAGTTAATTGAAGGTTTCTTTTTCTGTGATTGCAATTTAATTTTGGGTGCAGATGACAGTAATAGAAGTGGAAGCGCCGAGCCCAATGAGGTACATGATGGGAGCAGCTGTAATGATGATCGGAGTTGTATTGCCGCTTGCTTATATGATGTTTAGGAACAAGCGTGTTCCTTCCTCTTCTTCTTACGCTAAACAGACGTAGGTATCTCCCTTTCTCTTATTTCCTTTAGTTAATTTTTTTTTTCTGATCCTTTATCTTGAATCTCACAAAGCGTGGTCTGGGGAGGATAGAATGTACCCAAACCTTACCCCTACCTTACGAAGGTAGAGAGGTTGTTTTCGATGATCCCGGCTCAAGAAGAAAAAAAACTAAAAAGGAAGCAGAAACAACAAGTAGTAACCACAGCAAGCAAAGGTGCAAAGGTGATATAATAGTCGGAGCGAAAGAAACAACATATAGTAAAAAATATCTACAGATATGAAGAAATGAAAGTACGAGATTAACACTAACAAGACATGAAAAATAAGACACGCCCGCTTAATCACTACCCTTTTACCCTAATTCTCAACCTTTATACCTCTATCGGGTCATGTCCTCAGTAAGTTTAAGTTGAAGTAGAGCCATGTCATGCCTAATCACCCCCCCCCCCC